CACATTTTTATTTTTAAATTTTGTCTTTTCCCTTTTTTTTTCCAGATCAACAACCCCTCCCCGTCGTAAGCGCTGAGGAATGATGTGGCAAGAATGCCATGATGTTGTTTTAAAAAATTCCATGAGTTTTAAGGGCTTGTCTCATTATAGAGGCACATTGTGGCTGTGTAGGTGAAACCAGAATCTTTTTTTTTTTTTTTAATCTGTAAATAGGTGTATTTTTTTCCAAATGCTGCTCCAAGTTACTTAATAGGATTTCTTTGTATTACTTTTTTTCAAAAAATAGTGCATAATAAGACTATAAACATGCCATTCTCTTTCAGCTGTAATGTTCTTAAAATTATTCTCGAATGTACTGTGATGTCAATAAAGCTCTTTAGTTCATTTTTGTTAAACTCTTGCACCGTAATTTTATGATTTTAATCTAAGGAACGTACTTTTATAAAAAGGCAGCTGGAATTTTGTATAACAGGTTTTAAAGGTACTTCCTCCCACTTCCCCCAAAGAAAACAGTTTTAACTTAGTAGTTTGTCAAAGTTTGTAAATTGTGCCCATGGACTTTTGTCAATTTCTAACTTTAAGGGTATGGAAGAGGGCCAGAAATAGACCTTTAMTTTTCATTTGGAAGGATTTAATCAGCTTTCTAAACTTCTTATTTTGRGGATTTTCAAGTAATATATTCTCTATGTGTACTGAATAATGGTTCACTCCTGTAAAATGAAATTGCTAGAATCAATCAAGCCAGTGCACCAGTAGTTATTTGTAATGAATGATTGTATTTGACATTAATGGTCAACTCTGGAACTATATTTTACAGTCCACTTCTGTTTTACAAGTATATTTAAACACCTTGGGGTTACTATAGATAATAGGACTTACAATTCAATATATTTATTTATATTTTTAAAGTATAATATGACTTCAACTCAGTGGAGAAATGGTGTTTATGCAGGTTTGTGTCAATTACATAACATTAAAATTGTCTGATTTTTGTCAGTTAATAGTAATTATGATCATTGGGGTGGTTTACTTTAAGGCAGCCAACTTATAAGAAGAATGGGGCTCTCAAGGTATTTTAACTTAAGTGCTCAACTGTTTTCAGGGTCCATTTTTTATTTTTAGGCACTTATGCAGTGATAGATGAATCTCTGAAAAATGCTTTTAAATTTTAATTTTAAAAAGCAAGTGCAGAACACAAAAGTGTTTTAAAGTATGCCTTCTTTACCAGCAATAGTTCATTTGAAAAATAATGCCAGATTTTTGCCAAGGTCAGTGTTTCCTCACAATGAAGATAAAAAATAGATCTGTATAGTGCTCCTGTACCTCTACATAGATTCTTAAATAATTTTGAGCAGTTACACATTTATCTAAAGGAAATAAATCAACTGTGAATAAATGCATGTTTACCAAAATGGCTGTTTACAGTGCATTTAGTTCTTATAAAGTTGACATTTCACAGAATAACTTAGTTTGAAATTCTATATAGTTTAAACATCAGTCATATCTGGAGACAAAGGAAAATGTGCAATATTTTATATGTAGGTAAGCTAATTGAAGTGTACCTAATTGAATTATCTGATTAATTTGTAATAGATAAGTTGTATAACATTTTCATATCTTAAGATGTTTTTTAGATTAATCATCAAGTGAAATATTATTTTCAAAATAAAATTCTACAGAAAAATTCTGCTGGCTATGATATACACATTTTTGGACAAGATAGGAACTGGAGCCAAAAGTAGTATTTGATAATTTTATTTGCTATGCCCTAATTTGTAAGATTCTTATATCAGTTAAATCTGTAGGTTTTTTTTTAACCATCATGATGTTTGTGATTCTTATTAGGAATATCAGTGTTAGAATTAAAAAATTTGGGGCTTGGATTGTGGCTCAGCGGTAGAACGCTCGCCTAGCACCGGTAGGATYCGGGTTCGATCCTCAGCACCAYATAAAAATAAAGGCATTGTGTTGTGTCCATCTACACCTAAAAAATAAATATTTTTTTTAAAAAAGAATTAAAAATTTTGAGTTTTTCATGTATTTAAATAATCATATATTTATGGAAAATTTAGAGAAATCACTTCCTTGATGTGATGAAGTGTTTACCTCTAGTGGTAAGATTTTTATAATCACCTTCCATGGTTTAGGAGGTGAATGCTATAACTTATACATTATAAGTTAATAATTAGATGTGTAGTTTGGTTATGAAATCTTTTCTAAAATGACACTACCACAAAGTTTATAAATTCATTTTTTGAGACAGTCATTGCTCTGCCTTGGTTATTAAAAATGTTTTTTTAAGAAATTCTCTTTAAAAATATTTCTGGTGTATTAATCATACTTGATTTTTGTGAAATGGGGGGTAAACCACACCATTAAGAGAATAAAGTGAAATCCAGAAGAGATAATTATAAGATTTGTCACAGGCCCCAAAAACATAAATAAAGATTGGTGTGGAATCTCATTAGTGTATGTGTTTTCTACCATTGTAGACTTACCTTTTGTTAGCATGTTTCTAATGGTATTATWTAGTAAATTTTTCAAACATAGTCCATTTTTAGTGTGAATTGTTGCTTCAAAGAAACGTACGAACTGTAATGGTATTGAGTTTTAAATTTTTATTTGGGAATTTTTACATAGGAGTTGTGGTTAGACCCAAAGTTCCTATAATATTGCCTATGGACACCTTTACATTTAAACTTTTTTTTCCCCCTCCTACATAAACGTACTTTAATTTTTCAAACTTCTAAAATGTACTGAGTATAGTTAAGTATGGAAGTAGCATTAGAGTTATTGGATTGACCTGGCTCTGCTAAATTGATGTGTTTAGGAAAATCACTAAATTACTGTGAACTTCTATTTCTTTAGCTTGTATAAGGAACAAAGTAGATGTTCTCTTCCAGCCCTTAAGTGCTTCAGGTTTACACACACACACACAATACCTTTATTTAATTTATTTTTATTTTTATGTGGTGCTGAGTATTGAACCCAGTGCCTCACATGTGCCAGGCAAGCCCTCTGCCACTGAGCTACAGCCCCAGCCCAAGTGCTTCAGTTTTAAGTAGAATATGATTGTAGTGTCAAATCTAAAAGCAAAAGTGAGCTTTTATTAGCTATCAAATTATGCACATAATACATAATATGCATTACATTTGTATTATAAAAGTTTACCAGGTATCATCCATAGTTTTCTTGTACATTAGTTAAATCTATCACATTCTAATTGTGATAGTGCAAATTATGATACATTTATTTTAAATTACCAATTTTTGTAGAATTTAGAGTAAATACACCAGTTAAATAGAGTGGATGTAGGAATATATCATTTCAAAAGTATAAAACTTTGTTAACCATTAAGGAAGCACTTTTCCCTTAAAAGTTTATTACAATAAAATTATAAAGCCAAATTATGAAATATTGGATAGGTATTAGAATTTTCCAGCGAAATAGGAAAATAAACTAGTAAACTCTAGTTTACAACAGGTTTATGGGTGAGACGGTAGAGRTACTTGGAAAATAATCCCCATCACTGACCATACACTGCATTACAGCCAACACAACTTTGTTTCCAACACAGCTGAGGTTTAGGATCATTGGAAAAACCTTTTGTTGATGTTTGTAGAGAAAAGTACCATGACCCTCTTTCGTATCTGGGCCAAACTAGTTCTGATGATTCAAAAAGCCATTGTTTCCTGTCAGTATTCAGGCAAATCATTGATCGCCTTTGTTGAACTGGGAAGGCTTTGAAACCCGTGTGGTATGGTGCAAATAAAACCATTAGAACTTTAAATCCRTATTTGCACTTTGGTTTTCCCTTCAATCTGTCACTTCAACAAATATGTATAATACATGCTAAATTTTCTTTTGTGCAGAGTTTTCTGCCTTCATTTGGAGGTATGGTCATRTATCTAAGGAGAGAGGAAATCTGAAGAAGACATAGCAGCTGAAAAGCCTGCAACCACTGTCAAAGAGGATGTCAATATTTTAGCTCAGAAGCCATAGGTGGAAAGACTGTTCCTGAGTAACAAACATTACTCGTTCAAAGAACCTTTACTTATTTGGATCTGCCTGATAGAATAAAATTTTTACCTTCAACATTGAAAATTTATCAACATCACCTAAGGAAAGGCCTTTTATATATTCAAAAGTAAAATGTGGGCTGGGGTTGTTGCTCGGTGGCAGAGCGCTTTCCTAGCATGTGTGAGGCACTAGATTCGGCTCTTCGCACCATATTAAAAATAAATAAATGAATAAAAATAAGGGCATTCTGTTCATCTACAACTACAAAAAAATTACAAAAAAAAAACACAAAAACGTCACTACTATTCGTAGCTCCACATGGAAGTTTACCAAGGCTGAATGTCTTCGGATACATAATCCTGTCCAGGAGATTATGTCATTTGCAGAAATTTAAAAGTTTGGGCTCTTGAGCTCTACATTGTGATACACCTGTAATCCTAGCTATATTGGAGGCTGAGACAGGAGCGTGGTAAGTTCTAGGCCAGCGTGGGCAATTTAGCAAGGTCCTGTCGACTCTGGTAAAACTGCTGGGTTCAAGCCCCAGTACAAAACACAATATAAATTAAGACTCTTGGCCCTCTGATATTCGAGTGCCTTTGAAAGGGAAACTGTTACACGTAAAGAATAAGTATTTCCATACTTTTCGTGATTTTAATCATTAGGGTCGGTGTCTTACATGGAGACAAATGTCCTTGGGGAGACATTTGTTAGAACTACAAGGGAATGAAAGCACAAAGTAGTGGCATGATTTTATACTTAACTATGAYTATGAAGTTTTTCGGGTGGTCATATAGGAATAGTCAGAGGTTATACAGGAGGCGACCGTTTATATTATTGGAAGCATTTTATAGTTTMATTTGCACTCACAATTTACTAGATGTTCAAAAGAACTTGCAACACGTTCATGATAAAAATAATCATAGAAGTCGGCAGTAGATGGCGCGAGTGGGTCTCGGAACCTTTCTGTTGGGGATCTTCGGAGAGAGGAACCGGAAAAGAAGTGGGACCCTTTGCCACTATGTGGGGAGGCTGGAAGCTGAACTTCTTTGGGGGTCGCTTTTTAAGAGTGCTTGGGTCTGGGTGCCGGGGCACACAGGCGGAGCGTCTTCGCCTAATTTCCTGGGCCGGTGAGTATGTGCTAAAGTCCCTCAGGCAGCCCACGGTGGGCTTGGCGGTTCTGCGCAGGCGCGGCGGGACGTTGTGGTGTCGCTGGCGTCCGCGCTGGTTCAACGCAAAATCTGCAGCTTGGATTCTAACTTTGCCCTGCGTTCAACTCCAGGACCGTGTTATCGTGCTTATTTTTGCAGAGGCCAAGAAAAAGCTAAGGGGTTAGTGGTACTATCCGGGGAGAGGGCAGCCAGCGGGCGGCCGCAACGTATCCAACGACCTTAGTCTCATTCTGGTTAAGTTCCTGGCCCCAGGAGCCATCAACCCACTCTGTGATTACTGGAGCCTCAAGGTCGTGCTTTCTTTCTTTTTGCAAGGGTCTGAAAGACACCAGTCGGTCTTCCTAGTTATTCGTAGCATTGTATCAGTGTTTTGTTTGCACATGTCTTGCCCCTTTTTCCAGAATTTAAGGCAGCTGTATTACTTTTTTGATTCGTTGATTCATTCAACAGACTATTTACAATTAGGATCAAGAAAATAACTATCTGCATTTGGTGCTTGTATGTGACMATCAAATTATTGAACTCCCAGTATTAACCAAAAAGTTAAGTTCTTCGTTTACATGAAACTGATTTAACGAATACTGTATAATAGGAACTGTAATGGGCCCCAGGAATTAAAAAATGATACGTAAACAATCTCTTCTTTAAAAAATTAATAATAGRACCAAGATCGGGATATAATGAATTAAAAAATGGTAAATCTAATAGCCTACAAACAGAGTTGACTAGTTGGTATTCTCATACAGTGAAAAATAGTACAGTCAAATAAAAACAATATAAATTCACTTGTATTCACACGGAAAATAATTAGAATATACTTTTAAGTATGTAAGGTACAAATCAGCGTGTGTTATGAACTTGGAAATATATGTCTAATTTTGGCAGTGATTGCCTGTGGTGGAGTAGGTGCTTTTCAATCATTTTATCATATATTATATACTTTCCCCAAAGAACTTTTTAATAAACATGTCTTTTATAATCAAATTAAGAATAAAGTCATTTCCAAATTGGGAGTGGGTGAATATAGAAGGAGCATCGAATCTATATTTGGGATCAGGGAAACTTTCTGAACAAGGTATTTATAGAAACTGTCTTGAAGGAATTGGATAGTTAGAAGCAGTTGGAGACACCAAAGGACAAACTTGAGAATCTAAGGTTTTTAGGAAACTGCAAAGTGTTCCTTGAACAGTGTGTGAATGGAGGGCAGGAGGTGAGACAAGAGACCTTTTAGGCCATGACAAGTTCATGAAGTCTCTTGAGGTTGTTTATCCTGAGGACAGTGGAAATTATTGAAGGAGCAATGTGATCAATTAAAAAAAAAAAAAAAAAAAAAAAAAAAGCACTCCACAGCTGAGATGGAGGCAAGTTTGGGCTCCAAACTTAAGAGCAACCCAGACAGGAATTGATTCCTGGGGAAAAAAAGTGTTGTCAGGGTAAAAGTCTGTTGCCTGTTTTGTTAACTCACAGTGTGGAGTCTGCTATAATTGACTTTCAAGTTAATTAAGTGACGTTATCCCCATTCATTTAAAATCTCAAATACAAGGATCCACATTAGGAAAGGAATTGGTTATATTCTGTTTATTAATACATACTCAGTTGTAATAAGATGATTTTTAAAGCTCTTGAGAATTCTAGCAATACTGATGAGTAATAGATTCATTTTCCAGAAATAGAGATAAGAGGAAGGTCAAGGAGTATCAGAGGGCAGGTACTATTAAAATCTGTGAGGCACAATTTTATAAAAATACCTTATATTTCCTCATCTATGCATCATAGTTAATATAATTATTTAATAGTATTTCATTTACCTACCCAAAGTCATAAAGAGGGTGGTATTTTGTTTTTGTTTTGTTTTGTGGTACTGGGGTACTGTGATTCTCTTGCCTAAGCCTCCTAAGTCACTAAGATTACAGTTGTGTAGTACTATGCCTGGCTAAAGGTAACTATCTTAAAGGTAGACCAGAGAGAGTTGGTGAAAGAGGGAATAACATGAGCAAAAGCCTAAAAGTACAACTGTTCCTGTCCCCCCTTTCTTTAGAACACTGTAGTGGATTTGGACTATGCTATGAATGGCCTAAAAAAACAAGTCTTTACCCTTTGACCCCCTTCTTGGGTTTGAGTACACATTTTATAGTCCAAAACCATATTAATCATAACTGGCTGTTGCAGTGATTCAAAACCATAAAACA